CGTTGCGTATATTAGCTGTGACATATGAATCAAGATATGCTATGACTGAAAAAATTTGATTGACAGATGACCGTTGATATATGATTGGATGAATTTAGGTGATCAGGCTGATGTATAACTAACTGGCCTGCAGAACATTAAAAAAAAAATATTTTTTTTTAAATAGAAATTTTCTAAATTTTGGTACAATATAGCCTGATAAGGAGTACATTTATATACATGTTTAAGCCAGAATGATTTGACATTTAAATATGACTTCCCTATGACTTTAAGTTAAAAAGGATACATGAATTAACACTACAATCAATGTTTTGCTTTCATCTACACTTCAAATCAGAACAGGATCACCAAGTTAAGGAAAAGCAAAGAATTGCTGACTGAAAATTAGTGACAAAAATCTGGAATCAATTCATCTGCAGTCAGAAAACCTACCGCTAACTGAAACAGCAGCCTGCAGTGCCAGTATGGAGTCTGCTGGGAAATCTGGATAGCTTTACGAAGCAGGGGCTTAGCAGAGTCCACCAGATTCTGGAAATATATTACAAATATAAGCAGTTAACATTTTAAAATCCCTCTATGTACCATCAAAAATCATTAAACGCATTCAAACAAGAGCTGGTTAAAACCTGGAAAGTAAAAATTTCATCTGACCCTCTCATTAATGTACCATGTTATCAGGTTATTAAGTCGTTATTTGTCTTACCTGTTGGCAAAAGAGCTCCGATAAAATACTCGCAGCTTCAAATTTGACATCTTCGAATTGAGGAAGTTGTTGAGATATAAACCACTGCAAAAGCAGACAAAGTGTGTTTAGCTAACATTTTAGACCTGAACATTTCAAAAGCAGTTTATATAGAGCAAATCCTTAAAGAGGCTGAACCGGATATAAAACATCTTCAAGTCTCTCACCAAAAAAAAATAAACACTTTATTTGAACCTCTTTAATAATGTAACCTTCCTGAATGAACGGCTTTTTAAATGCTTCCGCCGTTTGTTGTTTTCACTGCCCGCGGCCTACACCCCGCCCGCTTCTCTGCCGCATCCCCGCTCTTTCCTAGACCGAACGCCCCTCACCGCTTTCTCTAGGTGGCTGCGGGCCAGCTCGCTGTTCTTGGTGTGATGGTACAGAACCGAGCCCAGCTGGAGATGCGTCCGGGCCTCAATCCTTTGCGGAGGCTTGAACTGAAACACAGCCTGTAGACAGTGAACGCAGAGTCGTATTTTAGGTGGACTGGAGGTTCTGAAGTGTTCCGCAAAGCCAAGGAGGGCGAGATACCAGCGTTCCGGGGCCTCTACGTTTGACGCCATTTTCACCAGACAACAACAAGTTTTTCAGCGCTACGGCCAGAGCCGCGGGTTGCCAGGTTGGGCCAAGCGGAGCAGCTCGTGGCGGAAGCGGCTTCATCCAGCCAAAGAAATCTAGAATAGTTTAGGATAAACTTGTTTTTGTTTTTTTTCTAATCAAGCGTTTATGTGGGAAACAAGGATGTACTATCCTCGATCTTCAGGCTTTTAATCAGTTAGATCTATAATGAAAATCCACCCCATTGGCCTAATACATTACTGGAGGGTATAGTTTTAACCCACACAGAGATATTTATAAATATTTACATTTATTCACTTTTTAAAGCAGCTTTTTCCGGTATCTGTACTTTATTTGAGTAAGAAAAAATAAGAAAAATATTTTTGGTACTTTCTTACAACTATATAAACCTATTGATAATGATACATTATGACGTTACAGCTACAATAAACTAGAGGTAAATTCAAGAATACAGCAGTTTGTTTATAGAAAAACACTGATGGCAACATGGATAAACAGGACAAGGACTGGGAAACTTGGCAGAGGACTGACTGATTGATTTACTTTAGTGATCTTACAGTGGGGAAATGTACTCATCACAACAGCAGAAAAAATAAAAAAAAAAAGAAGAAGAAGAGGTCTAAAGGAAGAAAAAGGTGCATGGGATATAGACAGTATAAACAGTATGTCCACATACAACAACTTTTTTATTTATTTATTTAATAGCAGGATTATATCGCACATGGTATTTACATGGGTATTTATAAAGATGGATATTTATATATATAGCTATTGCACTGGGTATCAAATATAAAGAAACAAGTTATTGCACAGGGTATTAAATAGTAATTGACCATTATACATATATCCTTCTGTTGCATTATATAGTCTGGTTGCAGCAGGAATAAATGACCTGCGGTAGCGCTCCTTTTAACAAACATACAAAGTCTTTCAGTAAAGGAGCTGCTCAGCTCCTCTACAGTCTGGTGCAGAGGGTGAAAAGTGTTGTCCATGGTGGATGTAAGCTTGTACACAATACCCTCCTCTCAGCCACTTCCTCCTGTCCAGAGTGCAGCCTAGGACAGAAGCAGCCTTTCTCACCAGCTTTTTCAGTCTCTTTCTTTCCTGCTCTGCGCTTCCTGGGGTCCAGCAGACGACAGCGTAGAGGAGGGCTGATGCCACCACAGAGTCATAGAAGGTTTTAAGCAGGGGCCTGATTGATGAGTTCCTGAGACACAAGATATTCCCAACTCATCCCCCCTTTAATAGATTACAAATTCACATATATTCACAAATTATATTTCAATTTGGATGCTATCTGCAACTTTAATGTTGTAAATAGTGAAGCTCTAAAAGGATTAAGCTGTTCACTCGGGACTTACGTTGTGATTTACAACAAAACTAGTATTTTATATGTTCTTTCCACTAGCATGTCAATAAAAGAGGAAAATTAATCAATTTCTGTGCATAGAACTGTTCTTTTTAAGAAGAGTTTTTTTTTAAGTTATTTTGCATTATTTAGGGCAAAAATTTAATTTTACTGTTGTTCCAAAGTAAAACATAGAACAGAGTTGTTTTTTTACACAGGTATTTGTGCTTTTACTTGACATAGAGTGAGCACCTCTGATTCAACAATGCCTAAAATATTGCATTTTATTAAATATTGCCTCCAAGCGGTCCTTTCCAATCACATTAGTGCATTTACTGACTGAGAATCAGTTCGTTATGAAACTCTTTATGATGTTCTCGGTGTGCAGGTTTTGCAGATCCTACAGGCAAAGAAAAATAATGTCTAAAGGTTACGTATTTTTTCAAGATGTTTGATTTGTAAATGGCTACTGTTTGTGTGTGGGGATTAATAACTATAAAATAGTCAAACCATTATAAATTATTTAATTCAAAAAGAAACCTTATTTTGTAAAATTCTTATTTCTATTACATGTTCTCATTTAGCAGAAGGCAACAGATGGCTTCAACCTAGCAAATTGACTCATTCACTTTATTTTCTTTCCGTTAGTTTAAAACTAATCTTACTACTAATGATAATAACATAGAAAACATCAATTAGGTTTGATTTTTCTTTATTGTTAGCTATTTTAGATTCGTATGCCTTGTTTATTTATGAAGCGTGTGTTTCATTGTTTTCAGTAATGTATTACTATTCTATTCTAAAAGTGAGTCACTATCTTGAGTGTAGGCTTAAAGTGATTACCATCATCTACTGATTACTGATATGGTCGCTTACAAATTAATCAGCTACTGTTGATTTTAAGTTGATCCCAGGGGTTCCCAAACTGGGGGGGTAGGGGTGATGAGACAACAGGTGGAGGGACACAAGAAGGTTTTAACAACCATTGTGTTTCCTGCGGTATACAGAGAGCCAAAATATGTCATGAAAGACATAAATGTGACTAAAATAAATAAATGTACCATGAAATAAACAAATGTAATATTAATTTATTTATATGATACATGATTCAAATATCAAAGATAACATTAAGTTGTGAAATGCACAATAAATTCAATTTCAATTTTCAGTTGAGTTTATTTATATAGCACCAATTCACAACGCATTTAATCTAAAGGCACTTTACAGAGGGTATTCAGACAGATAAGGAAAACCAGCTGAGTGCATCAACTCATTGACCCAAAAGCAATCCGTCACACCAAGCATGCTTGTAGCGACAGAGCAGAGGAAAACTCCTTTTAACAGGAAGAAACCTCCAGCAGAACCAGGCTCAGTGTGAGCGGCCATCTGCTGAGGCCGACTGAGGTTCAAGGAGACAGAAGCAGAGATACAGAAGGCAACTGTCAAGCAGATCCACAGGCGGCCCCGTCCTGGAAACACACAGCCAGGCAGACGAGCTCCGAGCTCCCATATCAGAGGATGAAAGCGAGAGCATTCAGTTAGACACAGTCAGAGAAACAGGACTACACTGAAAAATAGGCCAAGCTCCAACATCTATAAACCAAGGTGTTGATGGCAGCAGCACAGCTGATATTTCTCTCCATGATGGAGTCACAGTCAAACAGGAACAGACCAGATGAAGCTACTATGATGCGAAAAAGTAGAGAGCATTAAGAGATTTAACTAACCAATACTGAAGAATGGGAGAATAGTGATAGAATCAAGCAGAATGATGAAAAGGGGTCCCTATGTCCTCCAGCAGTCTAAACCTATAGCAGCATAACTATAGAGATAGCTCAGGATAACCTGAGCCACTCTAACTATAAGCTTTATCAAAAAGGAAAGTTTTAAGCCTAACCTTAAAAGTAGACAGGGTGTCTGCCTCACAGACTTAAAGCTGGTAGTTGGTTCCACAGGAGAGGAGCCTGATAACTAAAAGATCTGCCTCCCATTCTACTTTTAGAAATACTAGGAACCACTTGTAAACCTGTAGAGTGAGAGTGAAGTGCTCTGTTAGGAACATAAGGAACAATCAGGTCTCTGATATCAGATGGAGCTTGGCCATTTAAGGCTTTATATGTGTAAAAGGAGGATAAATGTTCATCTGGGTTTATCAGCGAAATGTTTGGGAACAACAAACACTACTAAACACATTTTACAAGCAGCAGTTTGAACAACTAAGACGTTGAACAAAATACTTCATCTAAATTTATCTCACACATGTTAATGCATGTTAATTATGTCAAAGGCAAATTTTTGACTGTTTTATGATACAAAAACAGTGGGTTGACAACCCCCACCAACTCAGTAATGCAATAGGACCCTGAAATAAAGAAATACCTATGACTGATTGTGCTCTACTCTCCACACTGAATTTAAAAAAAATTAAATAAAAAAAAATATATATATAAATAAAAATCTTTGCACTTTGGTTTAAACTGCTTTATCCTTTCATGATTGCGTGTTGATCTCATTTAAATACCGACAGAGATTGACCCCTGAAACACACAGTGACAAACCCACGCAGTTGCGCCAAAACATAAAGGTATATAAATAAGAGGGAAAAATTACAGGTTAAAATAAATAACAGTTATAAGATTAGGGGGGGGGTGAGGGGGAGAAAATGACCTAAAATATCCTTGAAATAAAGCTGAGACGATGCTTAGAATCAAACCATATAACTTATAACAACGAAAACACGCTTAACTAAAAGAAACGGGGGGAAGCTGATTACGTTAAACAAACATGGCAACCCAATGTCCCATATAAACTCGCGAGATTTAACCTCGGTGACGCTATCATCTTCGGGAATTGTAGTCCAAAATAGTGAAATACGCCGTGTCCCAGTTTGCTGAGAGCTCGAGGATCCAGAATAATCTTCAGCGCACAGAGTAAGAGAGAGGAGGGGTGGAGGGAGCACCTCCCAGCAGAACAGTACCACACTGACGTCCTTTAAAAACAAACATCACACTTTATTGACACTTATCTGCAGCAGAACATCATCGGGGACGTAAACAAGACGAAGGAGACGTGTGGACACATCAAGCTGCGCGTGTAACTTAAAAACAGAGAGAGTGACGAGCTTTGTAGCAACAATCAGGAGAGGAGCTGCAGAGCGACAGGCTGTTTATAAACACGGAGCGCTGCGAGGCGATCACTGTAAGTCTTCATGCTCACATTCATGACCCACACATGTTCCACTGCACGAGGAGGAAGCTCGGTTTATTATCTTATTTTCTTTGAGCAGATGTTTATTATGTGTAGATGAGCCTTTTTAAGACACTGTATGCTTTTATTTTCCGACAGTCGGGGTGATTTTTAGTTCTTTTTGCATTATCTTAAAAATGTTGGTTTATGTTGACAAATATCGACTGTATCTGTAATGCAACACGCCGAGTGTTTACAAGGCAGAGCATTCATGTAGGAACAGGGGCGTGAGTGGAGGCACGTACTCTTCTTGTTTTGTAGAGGAACTGCAAAAAGCGAGGAGGATGTTTTCTAATTCCAGCAGCTTTAAGTGTTTACCTGTATATGTGTGACTGTTTCCCTGCAGCTGTTGGATTTCTGACCTGAAGGTGCGCAGCGTTTTTGACAAGCTTTGAAGGGATTTAAGAAGGGGGGGCACCAATGGCCCACCGCGTTCACGACCACCACCAGGGCGGCCTGCCTGTGGCCCAGACCACGGTGCTGACCCTCCCACCGTCCAGCCAATCTAAGGTGAGTCCTGTGCGTGTCTCTGTTTGACTCACCAGGAATTTGCAACAAAAACATGTCAAAACGTGACCCAACACATTAGTACATGTGGGTGTGGATGGCATTTAAAAGGTGTGCAGGAATTGTTTCCTCACAAAAAAAACAAAGGTGGAGATATTGGCACAAGTCTTAATTAGTTTTACTCTGAAGCATTAAACAGGAAAGTTGACTATGTCATAGAGAAATGAAGATGAAAGCTGATTATCTTTGTGGCAGCTTCTACGCTCCTGTCTTTCATGTTGGTGTTATTGTGACTTCCAGTGCCTCTGCAGTTGTAAACATCCGATCTGAGGAAAGTAGTGCTGCTGTAAATAGAAGCGAGGTGTCAGCTAATCCTCAGCAGGACTCTGGCATCCACAGTTTGTCTGATTGGAGCATATGAAGTAAAAAAGGAGTTGAAATGTTCTCAAAGCTCCTGTTGTTGTTTCTTATTCACCGCACCCTTTTTCCTCCTTTAACTCTGTGTCTTCATAATTGTTGCGACGTGTTCTCTTTGATCCCGACACCAGATGCAGTGTATGGTCGCTTTAATAAAATAAAACTGATTATAAAGCAGGAGAAACACCTGGTCTCCATTTGGCCTACATATCGTTTTCCTAGGCTGACAAGACAACAGGAGAAACTAAAAGAACATAATACATAAATAAATTATAGAATAAATCAATAGTGTTGTTTTATGGAATGTTTACAGAAATATAGGAATGAAAAATGCAAACTATCCAAACTTGTTTGTTTCCTGTTGTTAGTTAGAAACGTGTTTCCTTATCATTCCAAAATACTTCTGCTATCAGTCAGTTTTTATTGGCTGTCCTTTTCTGAGAAACGTGAGGCCGTCATATCTTGTTCTTTGTTTCCTAATCCACGTGAATGCTGTTGCCTTTTTTTTTTTTTTTTTTTTTGCTCGTGTATTTTGTAAATACACGTGGTTACATTTTTAGTCAGCATAAAGAACAAAATAAAATTTCCTTCACTTTTAATATATTTTCTATTGTAACTTTTTCTGATTCTGATGTTTAATGAGATTGTTTCACGGCGTCATTAATCTGTGAAAATGTCTCCAAACAGGATCTGAGGCCCAGACTGACTCCTGTGGACTCCCTGGTGTGCGGAGCGTTTGCCGGAGCTGTGGCCAAAACAGTCATTGCACCTCTGGATCGCACCAAGATCATTTTTCAAGGCAAGACAAGCTCACGGTTTAAGGTTTCTCTCCAGATATAGAGGAGCTAACGTGCTCTCTTGTTTGCAGCCTGGCTGCAGAGTTGAACTGAACAAATGTTTAGTTTCTGTTTCAGAGTTTATGCTGTAGCTGTTCCTGACTAATCCTCTTAGTAGATGTTTAGCCTACATGCAGCATTGTGAGTCTCAGCTCTGGTTAATTGGGTCTCTTGTTGTTTTCACAGTGTCCTCCAAGAGATTCTCTGCAAAGGTGAGTTTCTGTATCTGTCTTATCTGCAGAGCAGAGATTTGAACCACTTTATCTGTACCTGCAGTGATAAGCTGGGCAGCTGACTGTAGAAGAACCAAGTGCACTGCTAGTTAAGGACTCTGTCATCAGTTTATTATCACTAAAAGTTCATTAAAGGCAGCCGATACCTCTCTAAACATTTACATATAACTATTATGACTAAGTAGTTATAGTAATTGAAACTTTCCAGCCAGATGATTTAAATGAATTCAGTTGAATTTGATGTCAAAACAAAGCGAGGTATCACATTTTTCAGAGGTAGAAGAAAAGAAGGATACTGTTTAATTTTATTTACAACTCCTTAACAACTTTAAACATCTGGGCAATCAGATTATCCCTTACTCTTTTTGTTAAAAACATAAATAACATTTTTTTCCTGCATCCAAGATTATCTATTTTCTGTGTAAATCTCTTGGTGACACCATGTTTGCTTGTTTCTTTTACTATCCTTGTAATTCACTGCAGAATTGTCAGTCATGGTTTGCAGTTAACCGTCTGGATGCTATGATTTGCTGCAGGAGGCCTTCAGGGTTATCTACTGCACCTACATGAAGGATGGATTCGTCAGTCTGTGGAGGGGGAACTCTGCCACCATGGTGAGGGTCATGCCCTACGCTGCCATCCAGTTCTGTTCACATGAACAGTACAAGAAGCTGCTGGGGGGGCGCTATGGCTTCCAGGGCAAGTGAGTAAAAGGCTTAAAGTTCACATCTTATTACTTGTTTTCATCAAAATGCATTTTTTTTAGGCATGTCAGCATGACTCTGCAGTAAATGATAAACATTTAGCGTCCCCTTACATGGCTAATTTTACGGGTATCTGGTGTTAATGTTTAACTGCTGGTGTTTCAGAGCGCTGCCGCCTTTCCCACGGTTACTGGCGGGCTCTCTGGCTGGTACCACCGCCGCCATGCTGACTTATCCTCTGGACATGGTCCGAGCCAGGATGGCCGTCACCGCCAAAGAAATGTAAGGCTCTGCCATGTTTGGATCAGCTAGCATAGGGGGCGTAGCACACACTTTAAATGATCAACTAATTCACTGTTTATCATCCCTGGAAATAAGGGGGGTAGGGGGGTATTTGGTCTGATTGGTGGGAATTAAATAAAAATAATTGGAGTTCTGCATTATAACTTAAAGTTTTAGTCTGGAACCATTTTTTAGACTTTGATTTATATTCACAACCAAGTTGCATGTTATAGCCTTTCTCTTTAGCTAATCAAATTGTGTAAACATGCAATATCACATAAAAAGAATCGGTCAGATCATCATTTTCCTATGACATATCAGTTAGGTTTGACTATTTAAAATGCACTTTGGTGTAAACAGGAAACAGGATGAGTTTAATTTGTTATTTAAATAATAGTGTTTTTATTCTATTCAATATAATAAATAAAGGATCTGTGTTTATCATAATGTCTCTATCACATTGGGAATAAAAGCTTATGACACGGGCATACAGCTCTCCTCCTCACTGTTTAAAACCAATCTTCTGGTCACAGCATCAGTTGCATATTTTTCATACCACACTGAATCTAAAGATGTTTTTTCTCACTTTTTCTTCCACAGGTACAGTAACATCATGCATGTCTTTGTACGCATCTCCCAGGAGGAAGGTGTGAAGACCCTTTACAAAGGTTTCACCCCCACCATCTTGGGTGTTATTCCATATGCAGGGATCACATTTTTCACCTATGAGACGCTCAAAAAGCTCCACGCAGGTATGCATATTTTCTCTGTTTTTCGGTTGATTTAAGCAAGATGTGTAGATCGTGGCCAATCACCAGCCTGCTTCCTGTCTTCCTGTAGAAAAGACGAAGCGCTGTCAGCCTTACCCTTATGAACGCCTGGCGTTTGGAGCCTGCGCAGGCCTGATTGGGCAGTCGGCATCATACCCACTCGACGTGGTTCGCCGGCGCATGCAGACAGCGGGCGTGATTGGCTCATCCTACGTCACAATCATGGGGACCATGCGTGAGATCGTGAAGCAGGAAGGCGTCAGGAGAGGACTGTACAAAGGCCTGAGCATGAACTGGGTGAAGGGGCCTGTTGCGGTGGGAATTAGCTTCACCACATTCGACATCACACACAACCTGCTGCTGAAGCTGCACCAGATGGGCTACTCTATCCACTGAGTCTGCTAGGGGGCAAAGGAAAGTGAAGATTACGTTGGGAAGAGGATAGGAAGCTGAGCCTCCTCATGGCCATGGCGAGGTTCTGCTGGGTGCATGGCCATCCCATAGCACACTCCTGTTTCCTGAGAGAGCGTGTCAGAGCTGACGGGGATCTGCTCTGCAAGAAACGCTGCATCACAACTTGGCTTCATGCAAAGTGATCACTAACTTTGCATAAGGGCACACAATATGATTTTGCTGTCATTGAAGTGACATGTCTGAGAAAACATGCACCGCTAGAATGACAGACAGCAAAGGGCAGCATGGAAAATGATGAGTTAAATGGCGCTTTATCATTGTTTCTCTTCTGGTTAATCCTACATTTCCACAAACACACCGTCTTAGTGCTTAATTTCTTTTTAAACCAGAAATTATTTGATTTTAATTTATTTTCCCTTTTACTACGGCAAAGATTATAAGGATGTTTGGGATTGTTTGCAACTAGAGCGATTTATTATGGTTTTATTTTCCATTGAAAGGATAAAAAACAATCATCACTCTGTTAATATAGCAGCTCTGCTGCACGTTTTAAGTCATTTCTCCAACCGTCCAGGTTTTTAATGCTTAATCTGTATTTAAATCTGTGATGATTAACAAAATTACAAACAAATGTGTGATTATGAGCAACTAATTTGAATGCAGGATAGTTTGCTCATTGTTTACAGATTTCTCAGCCCTTCATTGAATGGGGTCTCCCTCTTTTTTGTTTGTTTGTTTTGTTTTTTTTTGTTATAATTTAGATGTTTCTGGAGGAGAAGTCAGACTTTTGTCACATTTAACAGAGGAAATATGTCCAAAGATGTTTACAGTAGGTTGACCGTGCAATAAACTGTTTATTCACAACATTAAGCAATGCGGTCTTTTTTCCACTAGAGGGCGACGTTTGACAAGAGAAACTGATGCCATTATTGTAAACAGCGGGGACGTTTGGATCAAACAAAAAGAGGGAAAATGACATTTAAAAAAAAGATATCAACAGAAAAATAATTCCCTTCAGTGAGGAACAGTTCTTACATTTCTAAAAAAAAAAAAAAAAAAAGGTAGATTTTAAAATGCTTTTGTGTACAATTTATTTAGGTATGTTGCTACCAAAACAGTTACTATGTTTTAAATGCTTATTTTACGTTGTGTTATAATTTAGAAATTTTAATGCGTCTCTAAAGATGCAGCTTTTGTAGAAAAGCCTTTTTATAACCTGAAACAAATACTAGAATAAAAACTTTGGAAATATTTCTCCTGACCCTATTTATCCGTCAGTAGGTGGCAGCAGTGAGCTTCCCTCCACCATTACCGAGCTGGTTTACATGGCCTGAACTTGACCTTCCGTCTGCCGAGTTCAGCTATTTGATACTTATTTCTTTTATCATCTATTAAAACATGTCTGTGGAGCAGCTCTAACCAGCACAGAGTTATAACAACAAAGAAACACGTTTAGCTTAATTTCTATCTATCTATCTATCTATCTATCTATC